CTGGAGCAGTGTTGCCACTCAGGGCTGTCACTTACCAGGATAGACCCATCACATCCGCCGACTCTGGATTTCCAGACGGTCAGGTCACCGGAAATCTCCCTTGGTCGGTCTGCTTTGGCACACTTTCGGTGAATTCCCTCCATGCCCCTTTAGACTCTCATCTCGCGGCGACTGATACTTCTAGCTCAAGAATAAACCTACTGCCTGTTTTTTTCCCTTCAGCTCAACCGATAGTGGGCCAACATTTTGCGCCAATCCCCAAGCCCAACTCAGAACCAAATCTTGCACTTTGTGGGCCGCCTAACTTATCCCAACATTTCTCTCTACCTAACTCCCCTACACACCAAACCCAATCACTGACCAGGCCCTTTACACCAGGCCCAATCTCCTCCTCCCTCTCTATGCCCAAACACCTACCTTCTCTGCTCCAGGCTAGATGTCAACCAACCATGGCGGACCAATTTTCGGCGACCACCGCAGCAGCCCCCTCACTGTCGGTCGGCGGCCCTTGCTCCGACACCGGCGTCGGTGCCGGCAACACTCAGTTGAATGAAGGCCATCTCTCGGTGTTTCTTCCACCGGCGGACTCCTCTACCGCCCCGACGGCTGCCATCTCGTCGGAACCCAACCAGCCCGGTCAAGCCACCACTCCGGAAGAGCCTAGACACCCGGCAGGCTTATTAGGCCGTGACCCCCACTATGCACAGGGGACGAGCACGGCCAACCCCTTGCCTCATACGGCGAACCAGAGCCCCCGCCTAAACGGAACACATTCATTTCGAGATGTAGTATCGGGTGCCCCCACCGCCAAACTGGGCCACCAGAGATCGATGTTGGAGTCCTTTCGGGACAAACAGAGCGAGACCGTCACTCGCTAATAGGACCACCCTTGCTCATGTTAAATCTCTCATTCGTGAGCATAACCTTGACTTTGAGGCTTTCTTAGAGCCTATGACTCATGACCCCTCTTTTGACATATACTCGCGCCGCCTTGGCTTTCATGCCGGGGTGGGCAACACCTCTAACAAATTTTGGTTTTTCCACTCGCGTGACTTTACATGTCAGATCATTCGAGATACTGATTGGGTCTTGCACGTGAAGCTCACCGCCGCCCACCTTCCAGAGCCGATCTTTCACATCTTGGTTTACGCCAGCTGTGCGAGGGTTAGTCGTTATGACCTCTGGGACACCATGAGAGTATGGAGGGATTACCGTGGATGGTTAGCGGTGATTTCAACATATTTTTGCATCCCGATGAATGCACTAGTGGAGACCGCTCAGCGGAGATCTTAGATTTCTCGCACGCTGTATCGGATTGTGAGCTAATCGAAGCTGGATATGAAGGGCTCTCTTTACGTGAGAGAGGGCTGGAGTCAAGGAGAGGCTCGACCGCGCACTATACTCAGAGGCGTGGACGAGGGTGTTTGCGACCACGGTTGTAACACACCTTCCTCGAATTGATCCGACCATGCCCCCCTTCTGATTCGGTGTCGGTTCTCTAATTTCCCCTTGGCGAGCGTCCTTTCGTTTCCAGAACATGTGGGTCCGCCACCATTCTTACTACGATATTGTTAGAGCTTCCTGGCAGCAGGCTACCCACCTCCATGGGATGCGCAACCTGGAGGAGAAGCTCAGTAGACTCCGCCGCGTTCTGAAGCAGTGGAACTGGACGAATTTTGGTGACATTTCTCAGCGCCTTATTGCAGCTCAGACTGCGTATGCGGAGGCTGAACAGATCTATGATCTGGATTCATCGCCAGAGAATAGGTCTGAGATGCGCCGCTGCTATGCTAAGTACAAGTTACGCCTCCTCATGGAAGAAGATTTCTGGAAGCAGAAGGTTGTTGTGCGCTGGGTGGCTGAGGGGGAGCGTAATACCAAGTCTTTTCAGGGATTCGTGAGGCAGAAGCGAGTCAAGTCATATATCCATATTATCGAGGATAATGGGCCATCTGTAATCCAGGAGTCCATATACGGGAATCGGCTAGGGCTTATTTCCACTCTCTCTTTTCCTCTGAGCGGGACTTGCGTACGCACCCCGACCTGGCCTTTTTTCCGAGCATCCCATAGTCGGTCGACCTCGTCGGCCTCTGTGACCTCCCGAGTAAGGAGGAAGTCAGGGAGGCTGTGTTTGGGATCGATCCCAACAGCGTCTCCGGACCGGATGGCTTCTCGTCCCTCTTCTTCCAGTCATGCTGGGAGATTGTGGGAACTGACGTAGAGGAAGCTGTGAGGGAATTCTTCTCTGGCCACCAGATGCCAGAGTCCTTCATAGCAACCTCCATAATTTTGATCCCGAAGAGATCGGGACCTAGTTCTTGGTCCGACTATAGACCTAT